GTCATATCAACAGATATCAGCAAGTACTCAGAAGTGATTTATATAGCTTACAGGGCTGTTTACTGTTAATTTTAACTATTTCATGTTCCCTTCAAACTTCATTTTGTAAAAGTTTCAGCAATATACAAATGATACAGTTGTTCCAATATCAAGGACAGAAATCTCTCATTTTCTTATTAATCTTACTTAATTCTTCATAGCCAGTGCTGGATCTAAGGGAGATAATAACCACTGATAAATTTGAAAAGTGTTTGAACTAATTTTCTAGATTTAGAGAAAGTGTGTTTTCATTTAGTTTTAGCACTTGTGGGGAGTAAAAGCACTGAAACAGCATCTGGATCCTACATCAATATAACCTGCAGCAGGGAGGGTGTAACAGAACAGTACTGTGTCTGCCTTTTGCTAGAAAAAACAACATGAGCATCTTCTACAAAGCCCTGAGTACTTCTTGCCTGGTGCCCTCCACGGCATGTCCACAAATCTTTCAACCTGATATTACCTTTACTGAAGTGCCTGTACTGAAGAAACAAAAGATATCAGTAATAATATAATAATATTCTTTCTTCTGAAGAACCTGAAAATCGTTCAAAGACCAGCTCAGTTCCTAAAATTGCTGGAAGGGGGAATAACTGAGTGCATTTCTTTGACTTCTACCTGTAGCAGAGCTACTAGGCCTATGGCATCCATGTTCCTTGTGACTCCAGATATGGATCTGTGATAATGTTTCTCAGGATATTCATGTGGGGAGATCATTACTGGTGAATACCACTTGACTTTTCTATTTCAGGTCACACAGGTGACTGTACATATGTTAAAGGTAATAAAACAATCTAAACCCAAGGGTGTCCCTAGCTCTGCCAGGGTGTTGTTGGCTTTCTTCCACAGCAGCTGCTAGAAGTGGCAGTGTTGTAGAGCCACAGCTCTGCGGCTGTGACTAGCCAGTAGAATTCTTCCCGCTTCTGAACTACCATCTATTGTCCTTGCTTTAATTTTGTGAGTTTGGCTTCTGCCAACAAAATTTTTTGGAGGTATCTCTAGATCAAAAGCTCTCACTTAGAAATATTTTCAATGTTTTGCAACAGCGGATTATCTTTTCTTGCAAGTGACAGGAAAACTAGGGATTATCTTGACTGGAGGCCAGTCCTAAGTATCCCCCTGGCATAGTCCATGCTATAGCAGAAGACTGGTCCAGATAAACAAATTACATCACTGCACAGAAGATCAAAAGTGGCTGATTAACCCAGGCAAACTTATCTGATGTAGTGAAATGCTTAAACAAGGAGCTGCTGGGCAAACTCAAGTGGAAAAAGAGAATCTATGGATCATGGAAGGAGGGGCTGGCCACTTGGGAGGAATATAGGACTGTCGTCAGAGAATGTAGGGAGGCAATTAGGAAAGGCGTCTTTGGAACTAAACCTTGCTAGTGAGGTCAAAGACAATAGAAAGGGCTTCTTCAAATACATTGCACATAGAACTAACACTAGAGGCAATATAGGCCCACTGCTGAATGAGGTGGGTGCCGTGGTGACAGAGGATGTAAAGAAGGCAGAGGTGCTGAATGCCTTCTTTACCTTTGTCTTTACTGCTGCAGACTTTCTCCAGGAGCCCCAGATCCCTAAAGCCCCAGAAGAAGTCAGGATGAAGGAAAAGTTTGCTTTGGTAGATGAGGATTGGGTTAGGGATCAGTTAAGCAATCTGGACATCCATAAATTGATGGTCTGGATGGAATACACCTGCGGGTGCTGAGGGAGCTGGCGGAGGTCATTGCTAGGCCACTCTCCATCATCTTTGGTAAGTCGTGGGCAACAGGAGAGGTGCCTGAGGACTGGAGGATAGCAAATGTCTCTTCAGTCTACAAGAAGGGCAAGAAGGAGGACCCGGGTAACTATAGACCGGTCAGCCTCACCTCCATCCCTGGAAAGGTGATGGAACAACTTGTTCTTGTCACTATCTCTAGGCATATCAAAGATGAGGGGGTCATTAAGAGCAGTCAATATGGTTTTACCCAGGGAAGTCATGTTTGACCAACCTTATAGCCTTCTATGAGGAAGTAACTAGGTGAATAGATGATGTTAGAGCGGTAGATGTGGTTTAACTTTTTTTCAATAAAGCATTTGACACTGTCTCCCACAGCATCCTTGTAGATAAAGCAAGGTCTTGATGATCAGGTAGTGAGGTGGATCATGAACTGGTTGAAAGGAAGAAGTCAGAGAGTTGTAGTCAATGGGACAGAATCTCGTTGGAGGTCTGTGACTAGTGGACTCCCTCAGGGGTCAGTACTGGGACTGGTACTATTCAGTATTTTCATCAATGACCTGGATGAGGGAACAGAGTGTGCCCTCAGCAAGTTTGCTGATGACAATAAGCTGGGAGGAGTGGCTGACACACCAGAAGGCTGTGCTGCCCTTCAGAGAGACCTAGACAAGCTAGAGAGTTGGGCGGGGAGGAACTTGACGAAATTCAACAAGGGCAAGTGTAGAGCCTTGCATCTGGGGAAGAACAACCCCATGTAACAGTACAGGTTGGGAGCTGACCTGCTGGAGAGCAGTGTAGGAGAAAGGCACCTGGGACCTCTCTTTACTGTGAGAGTGACAGAGCACTGGAACAGGCTGCCCAGAGAGGCTGTGGAGTCTCCTTTACTGGAGACATTCAAACCCTGCCTGGACAAGTTCCTGTGTGATGTGCTCTGGGTGATCCTGCTCTGGCAGGGGGGTTGGACTAGATGATCTTTTGAGGTCCCTTCCAACGCTTAAGATTCTGTGATTCTGTGAAATTAAACCCATGAAGAGCTGCTGATCCATCCTTCTGCCGTTCCTGATCAGATTGCTGGAGTAGCCAGCACAGCAGCCTCTTGTTGGCATGCTGGTTTTCACCTGTGTGTGGAGTTAAACAGGCAATTCCCAGAACCTCATCACGGGACGTGATGTGACCTTGGTGTGACATCCTACTGTCTGCATTATCCAGGCCTGTGAATGCTACATGAAATGCCATCCATAGGCATGCTGCCTGCTCTGTGAGGTTTCAGCAGACCATTCAGCATTCCAGTGAAGCTGTCAGATCAGGATCCTGTAAGGGAGTGAGGAGATGAGGATCCTGTCAAAATCTGAGGAAGCAGACTGGTAATCTGCAGAGGCCTAAATGGGGCTTTTAAAATTGGAAGCAGAACTGACTGCCTAGACAGAGGTTTTTGAAAGATAAACAGCATCAGCAAGCTAAGTGGATTTCAAGCACAGCTTTAATTGTTTTTCAAAGGAATCAGCAAAGGGCACCCTAGCTGGAACAAGCTCTGAAGTACAATCCGGAAGATTTCAAGTGTACAGTAGGTTTTAAGATAATCAGGCATTTCAGCGCCGGGACGTACTGTGGCAAGTAATGAATAAAGCCTTTTTATGTCAGCACTGACTGTACCGTAGTCTTGGAGTCAATTAAAATCACCTGCTGTACGGGCCCCTTCACTGTGAAATTGACACACACACTGATTTCCAAACCTAAAGAACTGTGCCCACAGCCCACTTGATCAGAAGAGCAAGTTGTTTATTGCCAGTACCTATTGTGCTTGGGGACACCTCGACCTGTTCTTTTCTTCCCTCTTCACCCAAGAATCCCAACAGCCTGTGACAGACTAACAACACTTCTGCGCAGATTTTAATGTAATTGCTGCAGAACCCCTTGGTCCTCACGTAATAGAAATTATTTGGGTCACTAAATCTTGTTTCCTAATTATAGGAACGAAAAGAGAGAGAAAAAAAAAGATACAATGTGAAACCATTCCGTTATTCTGGGCATTTTTTTGCTTTAGAAACCCTGGATAACCCACTCACTCCATCCATTTTAGGTGCGCCCTGTTTTAACCTTGAAGTTAAATCTGTCATTCACATCCTCTCCTCTTTCCCCAGCTCCTCTTGCAGCGGAGCGGGGGGACCCTCCCGCTCCCAAACCCTCCTCGCTGGGGGATTAATCGGTTCCCGCCGCCCCTCTTGGTTTTGTTCCCCTCCTGGGGACCAGAGATGCCCGGGACGAACGCAGACTTGGTCGGCGCTGTCACCACCACGACGTCCCGAGCCACCCTCCTCCCACGGGCACCCCACCTCGCTGCACCC